CTCCCACTTTTGGAGCCTTGATTCTCCCAAGCTGACATTTTGCTTTCTTTAGAGGCTTACTTAACTGTTTTTCTTGGGTCATTTTAATGTACATCATTTTGTTGAGATTCTAATAAATTAAATTTCAATTAGTTTTTTTAATTCAAAGTATCTCTAACCGTATCTAAGTTTCTTAAAGTTACCCAATATTATTTGCTATGTTCCAACTGCGTCTTTTATTTTATTACTTCAGATATTCATTTAAGGTGAAATAATTTCCTCATTCTGGATTTTAAACACTTCTTATTTTTCTAAATTCATCGTTAGTATGACCACTATCATAAAACTTACTTTGCAAATTCAGGTGGAAATGAAATTTAATTCATCTAAGACCCTAACTTTGAAATGTTATCTAGAAGATTAATTAGTGTTTCATGCTGCAAACTCAGGTAAAACTCAGAACCAGGTTTACTCTTCAATTTAATTTCTGTTTTTCACTCTCATTTCCAGTCAGCTGGAGCAGTCCTTTCTTTCAAGAATGCATCCTCAAAAAAAAAAAAAAAAAAAAAAAAAAAAAAGACAAAAGACTACATCCTCTATTGTTACGTGGTATTGGGATACAATTATTATTTTGAATTAAAAAATTTTTTCAGATAGGCATTCATGAAAATAGACCCAAAATGGCTGAAAAAATGTCAAAATTAAAATTTTACTTCCTCATATCTTAATAAAAATCTCCATGATTTAAAACTTATCTGAAGCCAAAGGATTGCAAGTTTGAGCCAGCCTGGGGGAACTTAGTGATTTAGTAAGATCTTAAAACAAAATTAAAAAGAAATAAGAAAGTAAAAATTAAGGAACAGCTGAGGATGTAGCTCAGTGTGAAGGCACTGGATTCAGTTCTCAGTACTACCAAAAGATAATAGTGAAGACATGATTTTTTTGCTTAAAGGTTTTCAAAATCATGACAAACAAAAAACCCTCCTACAAACCATAAAGAAACAGATGAATATAAATTTGACTGACAGTTAAAGTTATGAACATGAAACTGATTTGTTAAAAAAAATAAAAAATAAACTAGAAAATTATTTGAAAACTCTCTAACAAAGAATTAATTTTCTTAAGAGATAAAGGATTATAAAAGTCATTAAACCTGTAGGTGAAATCATGTGTGATATTTAAGTTTGTGTCCCTTTCTTACTTCACTTAGTATTATGATCTTAAGGTGCATCTATTTACCTACGATGTTTTTCAACTGGATCTGCACACGAGATAAAGGAAGAGGAGAGGGAGCGAATGGGAAAAAATTGAAGAAGAAAAAGGAAAAGAGCTTTTGCAAATGGGAAGAGGACCAAGAACTTGAAGGGGCAGAGAGGAAGAGGTGGGCAGGAGGAAAAGAAGAAAGGAATTAAGATATGTCATGCACATGCACCAACTCTCCACAAAAAATATAATTATGTACTAAAAACATGTAACAATAAGAATGAATTTTAAAAAGTCAATACACAAAACTTCTTTTTAAACCTAACATACTGACACCAGGCAGTTTTATCTTTCTCCCTATATCTGACTGAAATAAGAACAAAAATTAAGAAAGAAGCTGTGCATGGCACCGCTCTCGGTAATCACATCTACTTAGAGGTTGGGCAGAAAATACTGCAAGTTAGAGTCAAGCCTGTGCAATTTAGTGAGATGCTATCTCAAAATACAAAACAAGACAGGAGAGAGAGACAAAGAGAGAGACAGACAGACACAGAGACAGACACAGAGACAGAGAGACAGAGACAGAGAGAGAGAGAGGAGAGACAGAAAAATAGAGAGGAGATAGGAGAGAGAGAAATAGAGAGGAGATGGAAACAGAAACAGAGAAAGGGGGAGGGAGAGGGAGAAAAGAGATAGAAACATACAGAGAGAGATGGAAGGGATAGAGAGACAAAGACAGAGAGAGAGACAGACAGAGAGAGAGAGAGAGAGAGAGAGAGAGAGAGAGAGAGAGAGAGAGAGAGAGAGAGAGAGTTTGGTGACAGAGCTCATGCCTAGCTTACTTGAGGTTCTGGATTCAAACCCAGCGATGTAATAAATTTAGGGGTAAAATTTGGAAACTATAAAGAGCTTAAGTTCTGACTGCAGACCAAACAGTTGCAACTGGTGTCCTATCAGTTCTTTATGATGATATCCTAGGAAACATTACTCTTTCAGGCCTCCTAGAGGCAGGAAATATGGGAAACCACACAACCAAGCCATCAGTCAGGAATGTCCATTTACATCACACCATACTAAACTACATCCCCATGAAACAGAATATGCCTAGCCCTTAAATATTTACTTGGACATAGAGCTGAGCAACTGTTTGACTTGTATCTTTTCATTCTGTTCATACCCCAAGAGATGGACTTACTTTAATTCCTGTAGGTGTCTGACAAGGATGCTTCCTTTTGATTGAAGGACACAGTAGGAAACAATTTTCTGCAAGCTACTGTGTTCACCAGCTTTCCAATGATGTGGTAAAATATGAGAAATAAATCTACGTAAGGCAAGAAAGATTTATTTGGCCAATCATTTCAAGGCTTCAGTCCATGGCTGCTTTATTCCATCATGGTAGAAGAGTATGGTGGAGAAATCTACCCACTTTCTGGCAGCCAGCAAACATAAGGAGAGGAAGCACTCAGGTCCCAATACTCCCTTTAAGGTCACACTGTTGATGGCTCTAGACTCTATGGCCTAGAGTTTCTATCATCCCTCAACAGGGTTGGGGCCAGGCATAAGCAAATGACGGCTTTTTTTTTTAAACCGGAAATCGTTCTCAGGACCTTAAGCCTGCCATGCAGGCACTATACCGCTGAATTAGATCCCTGGTCCCCCGCCTCTTTTTTTTTTTTTTTTTGGACTGGAAATCAAACTCAGGACCTTGTGCTTGCAAGTGTTTGTGCCATTGAACTATATCCCTGACCAACCATATCAATTTGGTGGGAAATTTTATATACAAACTATGGCAAGTCACTGAAGGAACTTTTGTAACTTTTAGGCAATTGCTTAGTAAGTGCAACACTGGGGAAAACTGCTAAAGAAGGAAATAAGCAGGGAAAATATTAGAGTAAAATGGAAAATATTGCCTTTTCAGTGGTAAAGAGACACCAAGGGTACATATGGTAGATGAGTGGGAAAATTCTTAGGATATATCGCTGTGTTGGCAACAGAAAAATTTCTGACTTCCCAATTGCTCCTGTCAACTTATTAGTATTCACCCACTCAAGGAAGAGTGGACTATGTGTCTGTGTCTGTACACATTAGTTTTGCACCTGAACAGTCCTAAAGAAAGCATAATAATAGTCTTTTTCTTTTGTAAAGCTCCAAACAGGTAAGCAAAAACTAATGCATCACATTTTTATAATAACCATGTTACAGAGTTATTGCTTACAACCATCTGTATTAAAGATCATGATGAAATTATGATGTAGAGATTTCAAAAGGTGACAGCCTTGTTCAATCAGCTATTTATGTGACATCATAGCTTAGTGTATGGGCTATTGCAAGATTTCAAGGGTGTGTTGGTCATTCAAAACTATCCAACTTTAAGTCTTGGTAATTTGGCCACTACTTGATGCATGGCAGAAACTTGTTTTAAGAAATAAACTAGTACATATGAGACTATGTAAAATGTCTAAATTGTGTTCTCTGATCCTGAGATTTTCCTAGCATTTGAAGAAAATGTGTACAGAGGTGCCTAAAAATAGATTTTAAAAGTGGGAGATTAAAATTGGAAAATAAAATACCCAGGAAAGGCGATGCTTACACATGTATAGCATTGGAAAAAATGACAACTTAACATTTTATAGGATGGTGGTAAATATTCATAGTTTGAGAGAAATTTTATATTTTTTAAGAATAAAAACCACAAGACATTCTTTTGGTTCGAGTTGGGTGAATTATTGAAGTTGATGTGAAAGTAATTTCCCATTTGTAATATTACAAGATACTGTTATATGATATTGTGTTATAAGAATATTTTGTCATTCTGATATTTTAATTTATTCAATGAATTTTTCAAGACAATTTTCTTAAACATTTCTTAGTTAAGAAACGTTCTTATATAAACATTTGTCATCGTAACAATCATAATGAAATAATTTAAGTATAAGGCATACTTACAATATTAAATAAATGACTCGAAGTGAAGAAGTTTGTTTTTAAAGAAATGCTAATTTCTTATTACATAGGGTCACATCTTTCCTTTCAGCATGCTTCTAACCTGCAAAAATGTGAATTTAAAAAGAAAAATTCTTTTCCAGTTTGACTATTCAAGTATATGAAGACCAAGTTATATAGAGCAAAATCTATATTGATTAGATAGAAACAGACTAATATTTACATTTTAAGTTCTACTATCTTATATATTTGTAAACAAAAGTTAAATGCAGTTCCTACTTTGGTTAAAACATATCTTTATTCTTTTAAATAGTAAATGCTTATAAAGTACTCTAACATGTCAGAAAAAATTTTAAACACAGCTTTTCCTACTGAATTTGTTAGTTAAATAGAATTGCATGATTTTTTTTCAGTTAGTTTTAATAAATACGTATTTTTCATCATTACAATTTATGATGAACTAAAAAAACCCAGTAATTTCTAAATGAACTATTTATTTTACTTGCAACCTCTTTATCTTCTAAAATAAATAAGCCACAAAATGGGAACCTTGATACCACTGAATATTAATGCAAAATCATTCTATTTACTTTTCATTATCAAGATTTAAACACATTAAATATATTCTCTCAAACCATTCTGGCAAAGAGGTAGATTAATAAATATTAGCTAATTTTTATGTTAAACAATAAATAAATGTGAAATAAAAGGCATGTATCTATTTAAATGAGACAAAAAGGGAAAGATTCAAAATCTAGTCCTATGATAATATTTTCCCTTTGGTATCACTGTCACTGTCAAATATCTTTATGCTATAAAATAACCTGAAGGAGAGTAAGACTAAGAAATAACATTTTAGGCATAAAAATACAGCATTATTAACGAAGGGAAATAAAGCTTGTTTATTACATATTCATCAGGCACAACATACAAATTTTAAACATTTGCATTAGGTTTTTCAGGAAATTCACTGCTCCACTTCTAATCCCAGCTTATTTGTAGTTGAAGGTTAGTTACAGTGATAATCTAGGGAGAACATGGTACCTAATTCATAAATATTCAGCAGGTGACTTTTATTCAATAACTTGGTGAAATCTCATCAGCAGCACTAAAATAAAATGACAGTGTATTTCATATCAACAATTGGTCAAGAATGATGTGACAAGTATAAAAAAGTAGGTCATTAAATTATTAAAAAACCCTTTGTCATTGAAGGTTAAAATCAAACAGCAAAGTAGATGAATCATAATGTTATACTTTTCAAAGAAGACAAGACAACAAAGAAATTGGTTGTTTGATAAAATACAGACTTTTTAAAGCACAGATAAATTTCTGTTGATGATAATATCAACATCTTTTCTTTTTCTTGTATTTTCGGAATTTTTGATGATATTCATTTCCTCTGTTGTTTTCTGTGCTACTATCACTGTCGCTGGTTTGCTTTTGTCTCTTTCTTTTATTCATCTGATAAAGGTCAGAGTCACTTGTTTGTTGATGGGTCCACTCGTAAGAGCTGGGTCCAGCCTCAGGCTCCGGATTGGGCTTCAGTGCAGAAGTGCCAGATGCATTATTTGGAAGTGGAGCTGTCATCTCATAGTAAGGAAGCTGCAGCGCTGGATTATGTGCATGCCACTGCTGTGGAAACAGACATTCATGGACCCAGAAAGTTAATAGCTCACATGCATTATGGAGATCACCATGAGTAAACCAAACTGTATTTTCATGGAAGAAAAACACTGACTTGAAATCGGACTGGGGGTGGGGTGGGGGTGGTGACCTTAAATGGTTAACATAACATTCTAGTAGGTAATGTGTAGCTTACTACAATACAGATACACATTTTCTAACAGAAATAAAATGCATACCAAATTTATAGTTTTCAATGTTCTAGTAGCCACAATATAAAAGTAAAAATAAACATGTAAAAATTAAATAATAATGACTTTACTTTTCACAACATATGTAAAATATTACTGTTCTAATGTTATCAATATAGGAACTATGGCAATATTTTACTTTTATCATCAAATGAAGTCTTCAGAATATGATGTAATTTTTATAGTTACAGCATAACTCAGTTTGGATGCTAAATTTTCTTTGAAAATATTTGACCCGAATTGAATTACATAAAATCGACAATGGAAAAAACCATTTAACTCAAGTTGTTTCAAATATACATAAGCTCTGTAATGACCCCTTTAAGTATATATGCTAAGTGTAAATTAAAAGTAAATAAAAGTGGGCTAGGGGTTTAGCTTAGGGGCACAAGAGTCTGCCTAGCAAGTGCCAGGTTGCCATCATACTTAACTAATGCAATATGTTTACACAGTGACTGTTTACAGAGCTATGAGAGGACTTACAATTGATGTCCTCCGTACTTTCTATCATATTATATACTCAACTGAAGGAACATCAAACTTACCATCTTCTGAAAGAAAAAATATTCTTGGGGCAAAGCAGTGTTATTAACTGGAAAAACCTGCATGGGAAAGGGAGATCTCCCCAACATTTCTTCATTCCTTTAGAGAAATAAAAACAAAAAGCAAACAATACTGAAATTCCTAAGAACAAATGGCCTTTTGTATTAAAAAATTGACAGCTGTACATAACTAGAGAAAAATAATAATTTCTTTGATGGCATTTAGATTGGTTATTATCCTAAACATGCATACTAATAATCATTTGACACAAAATGTAGTGACACAGCAATATATTAATTTCCTATATGTACTCAATATATTCAGCTTTCTGATAGGAAAATGCTAGACAATACTGTATTTATATAAAGACACTCAGATATTGACAAAACAAAATTATTAGTAATTACTATAGTAGGTTTTAATTTTCTAAAGCTACACACATTTTTTAAAATTAAAAATTTTTCATTGATTTTTTAAAGGTAACTTTATTATTTAACTATAGGAATTATGCCCTTTCCTAAACAGACTGGTGAGGTTAACATGCACCCTTATGCTGCCTTCCACATTTAATTGAGATCAAGAAGAATTTTTCATTTAAAATCTATGGTGTCTTGAATTTTCATTTATATGTGTAGTATTGCCTGTTACGGAGATATTATGAATACAGATAGATCCTTTAGATATTCTTTAATATTCTAATACTACTACTCAGCCTTAGGACAGGAAGCATAGTGTAGGAAAGGGTAAATTCAGTACAAGCGGGTTGAGACAATAATGAAGTGGCAGACAACTTGATGCAACAGTAGCCTTCAAGGCAGAGGCAGGATTCAAATTCAGGCAACTGAATTTCATTACCTAAATTTTCTCTAATGTAGAAATGTGGGGAGAAAAAGAAGTGAAACATTCTGTCCTTGAATGGGTAATACTTTTAAAGATAAGTCTGAGCATTTGCCAGTCCTAAAAAGCCACTCTTATTCCTCATAGGGCTGATAAAATTAATAAGATAGGAACTACACCTATTATTAGTTTCTTGAGAACATTCTGTTCTGCAATGGAAGGCAAGAAAACAAACAGAAGGCATGAAATCCATGTAAATTTTAATGCAGATGGTAGGTAAGATAGTTTAAATTAGTGATAAAACTGTGTTAGGGATAGAAGAGCAAAAAATGGGTGAGAACAAGGCAGTTTATATATATATATATATATGTATATATATATATATATATATATATACATATGTATATATATATATATGTATATATATATATATACATATGTATATATATATATATATATGTGTGTGTGTGTGTGTGTGTGTGTGTGTAAATATATGTGTATAAATATATATAAATTGTATATAAATATGGACAGTGAATAAGTTAGGATTTTGTAAGGTACACCAAAGGGAGATATATATCATCCCTTAATCATGTCCTCTTTAGGTTAAAAGTTGTGCTTTTCCTCTACCTAAGAAATTTAGATTAAAGCTGAGGGTATATAGTGGATAAACCAGCAAGCTCTTTGTGTAGCCATGTCTATTTCCCGCCGTGTTTCTTGGGGAGGTCAAGTAAGTAATGTTGGCCCCAGGAAGTTTCCATCTGGATGGATGCCACTGCTTAAATCTCTACTCTAGTCATAATGGCCATACTGTAAGTCGGGAAGGCTGACAACAGGGAGAAATAGGGTCTGTACGTAGTAATGTAACCAAAATTCAGTTACACAGTCCTTTTTCTCATTTGTGTCCTACCCGAAGTGTGCTAACCTATTCAATGTCTTTGTTCTTGCTTCGTACTGAGTCTTAAGTTGATCTAATACACAGTGTAATTTGGGCATCTTAATTTAGATTGAGAAACTTTCTGTTCCATGACCTCTGTGACAGCTTATCAGATAGTATCCTTGCATCAAGTTGTCAGTCTATACAAAATTCTAGAATTCTTTGAAAAATTGACAGAAAGAAGTCCTAAAATAGTACAATGAATAATTAAATGGCTTAATGTAAGCAAGGCTAACACCTTGTCATTTTTGTGACTTTGACAATTGGTTAATTTTAGGGTTGGCATTTTCTGAAAGAAAAACACTGGATAATAGTTATGTCTACACTCTATCACAGGAAGACCTTGTGTGTTTAAGATGATTTAACATTTATGAAAAGAAAAAAAACTATAAAGGGCATTGTATGTATAAATCTCTACCACTTCCTACAGGATTTGTTAAGACAGAACTTTAAATGAAAATATTTTCTGTTCCTTTGCATAGGTTTGGAGAAAATCAACTTTTTAATTTTAAGTAGTAAGGTATTGCAGTATTCCCGAATATAACAAAACCCCTTGCTAAATGTTTATTATATTTACTGTCTTTACTATATACCAAAAACCATGTATTTGAGTTATCTTTATGAGAAATATACATTTAATTACCTGTAGTTATGTGAATTTATCTTTACACAGTTCTCAAAACTTTGGTTAGCTGGTTCAGAAGAGCGAGAACTCCCTTTAAAAGAATAGAATATTGATTACTTCATGATATTTTGACATGAAGTTCTAACATTAAACCATAAAATAACTTCAAATCTTTAGGACAAGCTACTGACTTAATATTTTTTGCTAATATGCAACATACACACACCTACTTTATCTCTCAGGTCATATTTATAGATTCCAATGAATCTATGAATTCTAATCAAGTTTTGTCCTGAAGTGATGGCCATATTATATTCAAATTGCACTGACAATGTAATGTGTAAGATGTATCTTATCTTTTTGTTCCAAACACCTGTAGGTTATAAATGGCAAACAGTCAGTGTTATCTGCTTCTAGTGCAGAAGTCTACAAAAACCTGTTTAACTTAACACAGGGTATGTCTGATCATAGTATGCTCTGCTCATCTGGTGTGAGTTAAGTGGGCAGTACCAAAGAGTGTGATGCAACCATGCATTAAAAATGAGTGAAATTCAAAGAGAACTCTCCCTTTTTAAGAAAATACCATTTTTGTTATTTTTATTTGTTTGTTTTTGGTAGAGTAATTGATACATCAATAATCTGCGCTATTTGTGGGAGGCAACATAAGTTTTGTAATGGTAAACTAGATGGGCTCTATCAACCCCCTGTAATCTGGAAGGGCTAGAACATTCTCTGGCTATTTCAGTGACCAGTTACTGACTTGTGTGAAGTACAAGGATTTGAAGCAATTCGTGTCAGGAAGCTTTACTCCAATATCAATAATGGATTACTAAATAGCTACCTTTGGTCACCGCTTTTACAGGGGCTGAAATTCAATGTTTGGGCATACGTATAAGATAGCTTCCTTAGAAAGACAAGTGGGCAAATATCTTTTAAACTGTAGATATTTGCTGTCACACATTAGCTACAACAAGATCAGCAAACAGCCTTTTTATACACAATCAAGGGTTATCCTTATCCAATTTATACAGATTGTTCAATTTGTGAGTTAACAACAATCATCATAATCATTTACTTGCAGATTATAAAATAGAACATTTAAAATATTAATATAAAAGAGAAATATAGGTTTGGCAATACTAATTATGTAACATTATATATTAGACATGTGTTTCGAGAAAATTTAATAGTAACCATAGACGCACTTTTTTCGTCTATACATAAAAAAAGAAAATAAGATGCTTACACCTTTGAAAATAATAGCAATCCCCAAATACACTTTAAAGATTAGTGAGAAAACTTACCAAATCGATACTGCACATTAATTGGTCTTCCATACAAACGAATACCATTCAGCAAAGCTATAGCATATGACACCGATTCAGGGTGTTTAAAGCAGACAAATCCAAAGGACTTTGGCTTTCCTTCTCTGTCCTTGCATAGAGTCACTTTGGTTAGTGGTCCTGCCTGTAAGAAACTTAAAAATTATTTTGTCATAAATCTAAAACACTTTTGTACTCTCAGATAACTCAAGTATATTCAATTTGATGACTAAAAATAATTTGTTCACATCTTCTTAATAACAGATATCATAATTCCTCATACTTTATATTTTTGGTTTATCAAGAAACATTTATGGAAAAGGAAATTCTAGATAACAGTTCCATGTATTAAAAAAGAAAGAACTATTATATTTCTCCTAGGCTTCACAGATCAATTTTCTAAGCATTTATACCTAAAGTACTCTGTCTCACTACAAACTAGCCGTGCTTTTTTAAAAAATTACAATTATTAGTGCATATTAATTGTACAAAATGACAAATTTTATTTTGATATTTCCAAACATTTATATAATATGCTTTCATGTCATTAACCTTAAATTTTATCTATCTCTATTCAACTCAAAAATAAAATCAAATAAAATGCAGTGACAAATTCAATGTTGGTTAGGTTATTCTCAAAAAGATGACAAAATTATATCAATTGAAATTTTTCTAAGAAAGAATAATTCTTAAGAATTATTCTAAGAAAGAATTAAGGATATGAAAAAAATCTTCACAGTAGAAAATTAAGTTTATCATGTATTTTGATATGGAAATTCCATTTGGTAAATATTTAGAAGAAATGTTTTAATATGATTAAGACTTTTAAATGGGTACATTATTTTTAAGAGTAAAAAATTAGGCTCTAAATCTAACAACTGGAGATATAATTTTGTGTTGTATTATAAAAATGGAATAAGTAATATTATAAATTCCAAGTATCCAGACCGTATTGAGGGAAATATCTATAGTAGGTAATTAAAAATAAAAAAGCTGAGACAGATATTGTAGAAATATATAAATAAGAAAAAATTATATCATTTCAATTGCAATCATTATAGGAGGAACTTACAGATTTACACAAAGCTGATTTAGTGGCAAGTGGTTTAAACCTTAAAGATTATTTTTCTTTGAAGAATTAAATACATAATAAATGACACTGATATCTTATGATTCAATCTTTCTCTTTTTATTCTCTCTGGCACAGGAAGAACTAATTCATCCTCAGTTTTAAGGATGACCTCATCAACAAATCAGTTTTCCCACCTAATCAACAAGTCAGTTTTCCCCTCTCCCACTAGAATTCTTTGTGACTGTATTTCGAACTATGTATTATTAAAATTTAAATTACCTTTTTCTTGACTATCTTTATTCTAGTGTTTGTTGATTAGAAGCACAATAATGAAACTGACTTGATCACTTCAAAGTACAGAAATTTGAAAGACAATGGTAAATGATATATATATATACAGTAATATAAAAACTGTATATGTTCTACAATTTTTGTTTTTCTACTACTAAGTATAGGAAAGCATAGAAACAAAATATGCTGAATTTGAACTTTAAAAAGCAAATTTCTATATAACAAAACTTTTTTAAAGATATAATTCAAAAAGAAATTTGCATAATTATCATAATCTTTTAATCCAGAATGAAACACATTTGTTTTGCTAGATTTTGTTCACTTTAAGCGTTTTAAAGATTATTACATATTGCAAATACTGCTGATACAAAAACTGAAAGAAAAGATACCTCATGCTAGCAAATTCTTCCCAAGCAAAAACAAACAAACAAACAAAAAATAGTGCCGAATCTACTAAGTGAGATTTACATTTTGTTTAGGTGGATAAAGGAAATCATTAAGAGGTAAGATAATATGTATTGTCATATGGATCTATACATTGATACAAACTTAGTCCTTCCTCACTGGAAATCACATTTATGTGTGAGCACATGTGTGTATGATCACTTATCTGAGTTATTGCTACCCTATAACCATGGATCCGCCTTCTTTTTTAGAGGCTCAGCATACAAGAAACCTGGGAGAAATAACTGTAAGTTTGTATTTTCTCTCTTCCATTGTCAAGATCATTTTAGGTTAAAAAAAAAGTCAAGAGTTTGTTTTTTTAAAGGCTAAATTTAAGGGTAAATTACAAGGAGAAACAAAAAAATATGAGAATTTTTTTCTTTCTTTTTTTTCCTTCTTGTCAAGGAAAAGAAACCTCTCCACCAAAGTATGTGTTATTTATAACTGAGGGACACTTTAGGGAAAAAGGTAGGTCCTTTCGAAACCAAATTTAAAAAAAAGTATCCCTCTGGTGCCCCTATATATTACTGGAAATTTAGCTTGATCTCTTCTCCCTTGGAACTTCCCCTTATTCTGTTAGGTAGAACTCACTCTTACTTTCTCCCCCCTTAACATTATTACTAATAGTAACAGTGGTATTAGTAGTAGCAGCACTTAGTATGTGCCATCTGTAGTTCTGTTTTACCTGTTAGCTCAGTTCTTTACAATCACATTATACTGTAGATAGTATTATTCTCACTTGATGTTTGAGGAAACTGAGGCACTGTGCTTCTCATTACTGACTCAATGTCATACTGTTAACTCCAAATTGCACTCTTTCAGTCACTTTCCTATACTACGGACCCTTCTGTTCTGCAGATTCTGCTAAATCACAGTAATTAATTTGAAATATCAGCTTTCAAAATGGTCCATGGGGTAGGTCTAAAATTTGTGTGCTTCAGCGCCTTCGTGCTTGCTCTGTAATTCTGGGGCATTAAGTGATGACTGCGTGGCCGAATAAAGAACCGTTTGGGTAAATGTGACCTATGTGTATACAACAGGTGGCTGAGGACACAGCCCACTTAACCCGTAGGTACCAGGCCTTGGAAAGTTTTCAAAGATTGTTTTGGAATGAAACAAAAGGGGCTTTGGCCAAGCAATTAAGTGCTCAAGTTAAAGAAAACTCGCTGCCTCATCACCCCAAACCTCATCTATTATGCTAAAATAAAACTCTCCGCTTGAAAGGGCTTAGGGGAATGTGTCTTGTCTACACCAGTGGAGACATTTAAAAAGCGACACCAGGCATTTTGTGGGGTGCAGACAGAGGGTGCTTATCACCTGAAGGCGGTGACTGAGCTGTTTTCAGGTCTGCTTCAGGACAGCGGGCCCAGCCTGCCCCAGGGAAGCCCTCTCTCACAGCTGGGGTTGGGGAACCTCGTTTTTTCCGCACTCCCTGGACTCTGTGAGGGGGATGGGACCGCGATCAGCGACCCCAGCCCCGGCTGCGCCCCCGGCCGGCAGTACCCTGGCGGAGCTCCAGCTGCGGGCGCGGCGGGCGGGGCGGGGCCGGCTCTGGGTCCAGGTGCGCCCAGTTCTCCGGCTCCCGATCGCGCGGCCCCGCGGACGGTACCTGAAGGAACAGCTCGTAAAGAATCTCTTCCCGCACGCGGGCCTCTAAATTCCCCACAAACACCGTCCTGTCGGCCTCCTCCTGAGTAGGGAACATCCCTCCGTCCGGGGCCCTTGATGGATGAGGCCCCCCAGACCCCGCCCACTCGCCGGGCTTTACCGCGCCGCCCCGGAGAAGGGGAGGGACTGGCGCCGGGAGCAGGCGCCGGACGGGGCGGGGCCAGATAGCCACGCCCACCGGCGCCCGCGGGAACCGTCCACTGCGCTCGGCTCCGCCCCTTATGGAACCTAAATCGGTGGGAGGGGAAAGTAGTTGCCGTAGGCACTGAAATTATGGCATATTTAGTCAGAAAGTGCTCCCAGCTGTCCTTCAAAATGACACCAGAAATTTTAGGTGGGTTCTGGGCAACTTGAGAAAACAGCCAGTACCAAGGATCCTGACAGCATCCTATAAATATGATCTGAGTCTTGAAGACAGCCCTTGGGCTTCGATTTGGTGCAGTGGTAGGGGTTAATTCTGAATCAAAAAGAGTATTTTTACTTGGTGTTGATAGATCAGAAAAAAATATTTTCTAAATAAATGCCTATTTTAGGAAATATTAATTTTCATTTACTGTCATTACTTATGTTATGGCTTTGAACGAAAAACTTCCCTGTCAAACTCAGGTTATGTTTCTTCAGGAATGACTCGGACTAAACATAATGAATATAATGTACTAAGTATTTTCTGACTGCTTCTGGTTAGGCACTGGCTTTAGTCCTTGAGAAGCAGAAGTAATTATAGAAATCTGCATTGTGAGAGAAATAGACTTCTTATGAATACATTACGAGTAACATTAGCAGTTAGCTTCACTAGATATTCATTTGTCCTTAAATCTTATTTCCTGTTTTGCCCTGTTGCCTCTATCATTTTTTAAAGATATATTTCTTGTAAGATATGAGAAAGTTAAGGAAACTGGTGCATTGCAAGGAAACACTATATATTGAGCAGGTGAATGAATATCTGCAAGCATCTCTTGTGTGCAGAAATCTTGATGTATTTATGTTTATTTATTTCGTAAGTCCTATCTAAGCCAACATACTTCATCTTTAACCTTCCCTCAGGCATTGCTTCTCTGCGAGCTGTATCTTAGGTTTCATTGCACAAATTTCATTGTTTATATAGAATCCTGCGTGTTGTGTGTATTTTCAAATAGTTAATGATCATAGTATATTGTGACATTGAAATGTGCATCATTCGTTGTCTAAAAATATACATGGCTTTTGTGTTCATTGTCTCTATATAAGTTTATGTTGCTTGCAATTCTAGAGTACTTGTTCAATGATATAAACTCAAATTCAGGTGACTTACTCAGTTTTTTTTTTCCAAATTGACCTCAATAGACAATTTTCTAATGTAAATGTACTGTATTTCCTAACTCATTAAATGCATGCATGGTAATAAATGTAGCAATAGCTAAAAATAACTTTCAGCATTTTGGGAGCATAGGTAGGTGTTCATTGCATGAACTACATGGAATACTCTTCAGAATTTAACCTTACTTCACACATATTAAGATGTCGTATATCTCTTGTATAATTTATAAAGTAAAAACATTATAAACATATACATGTTTGCTCATGTATATAACTTGAGCACCCTCTTCTTTCTTCTTATTCTGGGTGATTCTTGCTTTCTTTTGTACTTTAGCCTAGGCAGTATATTTGCAAGGATATCCTAAACTCTGCAATCTAGGTTAATGGAATGCCCTATCTGTGTTGTACCATAATTACTTAGATATACTTTTGTAAATTCCTCCCTGTGGTAAACTGAGATTAAATAAATCTATTTCAGTACTAACACAATCCCTAACATATTTGTGTATGTATAATAAATATTTGTTGAAATAATAGTTTGAATAAATGAGCATCTGTATTTTATATCCCCAATAGCTAAGACTATATCTGAAAATCAGCAAGTAGTTAATAAGAGTTGAACATGAATAAATAAATGAGTGGGTGCATAGAGGAACTTGGCAAATCAGTGTTAAGGCAAATGAATGTTAAAATCAACGTATTTTTTTAAGTAAGTCTTCATTATTTCATTGTTTTTTCCCAGTACTTGTACTGAACACAGGGCCTTCACTGAGTTATATACCACAACTCTCTTTATTACTCTTACTTTTTTCTTTCCAAACAAGCTCTTGCTAAGTCACTAATTTGCCCAAATTGCAACCAAATTTTGATCCTCCTGCCTCAGCCTCACAAAGTGGTAGGATTACAGGTATGCAATCTTCACTCTTTATCTTTATTCTGATTTTTCTAAACATATTTCCCCAAAGTAATTGCACTCTTTTTGACATGTGTTTCAGATGAGTTTATTATAAAGCAATATTTTCAAAACTTGAACAAATAAAAAAGTAAAATTTACCAATATCTAGAGGTAATTATTTCAGAGGAAACCTTTCTAGATTTTGACCTATGCATGTATATATGTAATGCAGTTTAGAGACCATATTTTAGTTATCATTTTCAGCTTGCCCTTTCCTCTCTATATCTATAGGTTTTCTATAATTATACTTATCTACCTACCTTAATTTTTACCCACCCTAAACATAATTAAATCAATTTCTCATTGTCACCTATATGTTTCCTTTTTAGACTAGGATAATGAACATTCTTCCTCGAATAGGTTTGTGTCCATGTGTACCATTGTGATATGCAAGGACTTTTGGTTTCTGAGGGAAAGTCTGTTGGATGCTTAACTGCTGTGTGAAAAGAAAGATAATAAGATTTTTGACACATTGTCAAATTAAAAGGTTATGACAACTATGTTCTGATAAAAGAATAATTCTCCTTCTCAAACATTGCTCAAGAACTATAATTACTTTTAAAGTACATGCTGGGAGAAAAATAAATGTGTAAAAATAAAACCTATAATATTTTTAAATGGTTGTTATATAAAAGCAAAAAAGAACTTTTTATTTTCAAATTGTAGCCTCAAGAGACACACTAGAATTTCAAATTTTAAAATAGCCTCTGTTTTTTGGATATAAATTACACACACATGAAAAGCCTGTAATTATACTTGACAACTTCAAGAGTATGAGTTTCATTATTGATTGTGGTTTATAAAGACAACTTATTTTGTAATCAAAATGAACACAAACCACAATGTTTTTTTTTTTTTTTTTTGTTCCTTTCCATTTCTGGAATTTTCTAACGACATATTTTTTGTAGGCTTTTGAAAGACATACTCCTCCAAACCACTTCTGAAACCTTGAGGTTAAAAGGAATACAGAAAAATATAATTAGCTTTTTCATTCCCTTAAGGTGACTTGTGTAGCTGAAACTTTGTGACTTATTATAGAGGTTTTGACTTAAAGATCTTTCTCATAACCATAAATCAGATGGGCGAAAACAAACTACCTCACTTTTTTTTAAAAAAGAGGGAGGAGCAAAAGTCACTTTTACAGTGTAAACTGTAACCTGCTAGCCTGTGACAATTCTATTAAAGAGAAACCTTAATGAATCACAGAATTTCTTTTTTGGTGAATTTGAGTACTTTTTTACTTTTTCAGATTCCAAATGAGAGTATATATTTTTCTATGTTTGATGTGCTGTATACGATCTGGTAAGATACTTACTAATAATCTTCTTTAAAAATTGCAAAACAATAATTGATATGGCGTGTATTATGGGATAAGCAGGTTTGGCATCTCAAAATGAAGAAATATGTTATGCTTATGGATATTAATTATAGGAAAATGAATTACTATAAGATTTGTGTCTATATGGATTCATGGCTTGGCTAAATTAAAGTTGTATATTTTAATTAACTTTCAGATAATTGATAACTAGAAAAACTTTTACAAGGTGATGTGGTCAAGAAATACATAGAAACAACTGAGAAACAGAATTATCTCATAGTATTGAACTTAATTCAGCATTTGAAAATCATGACAGTAAATATTTTGTTTTGATTTCATTCAACAAATACTACTTTTAAGGAAAATTCTTACCTACATAAATTATCAATTGCAAAGGAAACAAACTATGTATACAATATTTTTCTTGTTTAGCATAACAAGAACCAAAATTGTTTTATGACATTGTTGTTAAGTCATAACATTTAAAGTTGTTAAGAACTTTATTTTTCAGGTTTATGGATTATGGTAATAAAGTTTACTAATTTTAGTAATATCATTTACTACTTTATGGCAATAAAGTAGAACTACTTGTTCTTGTTCTATTTTATAAAGTAGAACAAGAACTACTTGTTTTAAATTATGGTGATAAAACAGTAGCAAATATGAAATTCAAGATGATTAGCTTTCTGTAGAGATTCTTTGAAGACAGATTATTTTCTTTATATTTTAAACATATTTCTAAAAGTAATTGCATGTATACTCAAAAAATCTCAAAATATCAACTTGAAGTTAACATTATTTTCTTTATTTTCAATTGAATATTTTATTGAACAATGTCTACTGGAAATGCTTGAATTTTATTTTCATAGACATATTTAAAATGATAGTAATGTGTCATTTGTAATTTATATGTTAATCTTTAAGTCTGTATGTCTCATGGTACCTGATTAAATATGAGGCTTGACTTAAAAATGGTGAATTTTTAAACAATTATTGTAGTGAAACATGCTTTGCCACTATTCTCTCTCAAAATATTCCCCCTCGCTCCCAGCATACTTTTCCCATTATTTTTGCTTTTTTCTGAAGTGATTCTGGAGGTCCTCTCTTATGTGACACTGGTTGTGTTGTCAAGGTTACTTGAACGTCCTCAATTAATCCAAAACATTTACCTTTTCTGGTAATTTTATTATGAGGAAAAGCCAGAAGTTACACAGCCCCAGATCTGGTGAATAGTGTGGACAATGGTACACTGTGATGTTTTAAGAGTGTGCCTTTCTGTTGGCTAATAGCAGCATTCACTGAATTTGTGTCCACAGTTTCTAACAGTTTTTGTTATTCCTCTAAAATAAAAAGCACCAGGAATCAACAACTATTTCCACAAATGGCCAAACAGTAAATATTTTAGTTCTTGTGAGATTATTCATCACTGTTATGTCTATTCAACTCTGCCCTGATAATATGAAAGCATTCATAAATAATATGTAAAAAAGGGGTATCTGCATTCTAATATAACTTTATGGGCACTAAAATCTGAATTAACTATAATTTTTTCATGTCCTAAACTATTGTGA